TACTACTTCTACTCGTACGTACGTCGTACGTACGTAGGTAGGTAGGTAGGTACGGTAGGTACGGTCGTCGTACGTACGTCGTACGTACGTACGTACGTACGTAGAGAGAGAGAGAGAGAGAGAGAGAGACAGATGTGGGCAGTAATGGTTTATTGGAGCTCTGTTCGTCCCCATATAATGCATGTCATTAGAGAGAGGAGTTGCAGGTTTCTCATTTAGATGGGTACGTTGTAATTATAAACGTAGTACAATTGCCTTTGTTTTTCGTATAAAGCGGCTCTCAGTTTTGTAAATTTCTCCTGAAAGGCAGTAACTTTCTCTTTATCACTGAAACCGATGGCATTTTCTTAAGGGATAGCATACCATAATCCTAGTCCACTAATTGCCTTCGTTTTTCCTACAAAACGGCTCTCAGTTTGGTAAATTTCTCCTGAAAGGCAGTAACTTTCTCTTTATCATTGAAACCGATGGCATTTTCTTAAGGGATAGCATACCCTAATCCTATGGACTAGATGAAGCCACAAATCATGGAAGAAGCATAGCCCACTTGGTTCATGACCTTCTAAAGAAATAATGGATGGTTTGTAAAGAAGCATTGGGTTCCCGACTCCGCTTCCATCACATCATCCAATGGACTGTGGCTTTTATAGTCAATTGGACTATAGAGTAATATCCGTTTGTTGTGTCTTTTTTATGTTCCCATGTTCATTAAGGATTAGCACCTGACATGTGTTTGCATCATGGGTCCAGGCCACCAGTGCCTTAGATGCAGTGAGTGAAAGATTAGTCCAAGGTGCTCTAAACCATCTAATGAAAGGGAGAACCACGCTGGTCATTGCCCACAGGCTAAGCACTGTCCAAAATGCACACCAGATTGCTCTATGTTCACAAGGAAAGATTACGGAGCTTGGGAGCCACTCCGAGTTGCTAGCCCTTAAGGGTCAATATGCTTCTTTGGTTGATACACAGAGGCTTGCTTTTGAATGATGATGGCTGTGTCGGCTTATAGTTCTTAATGGAACAAGGCATGTATCGGTAATATTGGCATCGGTGTCGGCTTATAGTTCTTAATGGAACAAGGTATGTATCAGTAATATTGGCATCACCTGTGGCTTTCTTTTTTGTGTTTCATTTTTCACTATGTGTAGAAATAGCTTAGTTTCTTTGAATTCTTCTTACTATGCAAGCACGGGTCTATGCATGTACCCACCGATTGTATTAGTTTGGAAGAAATTTAAAATATGTGTAATAGACATTCATTGAGTTACGATATAATATTTACAGAATTCATCATTACAAACATATGAGAACTTATGACCTCATTGAGGGTATGACCCTTAATAGAGCAAAATGACAGATCACAATTTGTATACTTGACTCCAATTAGTTAGGAAAAGGCTTTGACAATGATACAGATAATTACAAATATCTCTCTTTCTTTTTGCATTTAAACTACGTTATATATGCTCTATCTCACTCAAGATCAGTTGGAGAATTTGTATGTAGGCTCTATCCTTTCATGTTAATCTCTCATCTTTGGGGGTGCCATCTTTTCTTCTGGGATACTATTCTGGATCTTACATAATATCTCCTTTGGTGTGTTTTAGAAAGAGAATAGTATATTTGAATGGTTCTCTAGCTTGGTGGGGTTTTCTTTATGGATGTGGTTTGTAGAAGGATGAGGCCCCAAACAATCAAAGTAAGGCACGCATTCAAATTGTTTCAGTATTTAAAATCTCTGTGATAGCCTTCATCTCTAATTATAAAACTTAAAGCTTTAAGAAATAGTGTAGATTGAGCATATCTATGAACGTTTGAAAATCTTGAAAATTGATACTCTAAACAATGCATTACGAAATGTGCCATTCCAAGACTTGAAATCCATTTTTTTTCATGTGAATCGAGATGACTGATTTGAGGATTTTTGGGCATCAAAGATTCTCTTTTAATGAAGTTTTTAGGTGCGCTTTAATTTAAAGCTTAAAAAATAGTATAGATTGAGCAGAAATATTTGAAACTATTGAGCATTGTCAGCCTATATAATGCATTATAAGATATACTACTTCTCGAACTTGAAATCTATTTTTTTCCACCTCTATATATCTTGAGGTCGTGATGATCAATTTGAGGGTTTTTAGATATCGAAACTTCCTCTAGTGAATTTTTTAGGTACGCCTTCATTTGGTTGTTTAGGTCCTCACCTTATAAAAACTTTTCCTTGTTTTTATGGCTTTGTCTCTCTCTCTCAATGCTGACCCATATTGTGGATTTTCAAGTCCTTCATCTGGTTGAGCTCTTTTATAGAAGCCTGGGGCTAATTTCCTGAGTACAAAGTATACATACACTGCTGTTGTATGTTATGTGGTACACCATGGCGTCAGGCCAGGCACATATCCACCGTCCATCAATCGAAATGGATGGTAAATACCCCCATGGTGTGCCATAGAGCGTACACCATATATTTAAGCTACAGTCAAGATCAATAGTTTTATTACTAGAATGGCTATGAATGCCCCATGTTGTACCATACCACACATCATGGTGTGTATATACACCACGCATGAACCTGACGATTGCCCTATAAAAGTTTGGGAGACTAGCAAAGAGAGTCTCCCGTCCACATGATGTGGACAGTAAGAAGGGTGCACAATTCCCTTCTTACTGTTCAGATTCACCATACAACATCTATCGGTTCAAATTTAATTTTATATATTTTTATTTAGGGTGTAGTTTCTATAAGGTTGCAACTCTAAACAATCTAATTAAGACGCATCTCCAAATTTTATCATAATATGTAATTTTTGTGTAAAAAATTTTTAGGGTTATCTGATAATCTATTTTCATATTTAACTATAAAATTTTAAACTCTAAAAATGGTTAAAATCAAGTAGATTTATAAATATATGAAAATCTTGAAAATTTACGGTCTAGATAATGTGCTGCAAGATGCACTATTCTTGAAACTTAAAATCTTTTTTTTTTAATTTTTTAATTTTTATTTTTTCATATTCATACATCTCGTTGTCGAGATGAGGGTTTCTCAATGTTAAGACAACATTTTTTAATGGATTTTTGAGATACATCTGGAATTCTAAGGTTGCAACTTTATATAAACTTTTTCTTTTTATTTAAAATTTTATTTTGCCTGAAATTTAAGACATATTATTTTAAAAATAAAATAATTGGCCAAATACCCTCAAGTAAGGATATTTTAGTTAATTTATTTTATTTAATATATTATTATTTATTATTATTATTTGGTGCCCAAATTTAAAATATATACATCACAAATTTCAGGTAAAATAATTGTGAAATTAAAAATAAAATAAAAATAAAAAATAAAGTTAATTTTCGATCATTAGATGCCGTATGGTTCAATGTGAACTATTGAATCTGCTTGTGCACCCTTGAAGCGTCCACGTATGAGGTGGATGCTATACCATCCCTTTGTTGAGACCCTTGTCCGGAAAAATTGGCAGAACTCCCCTTTAACCTGGAACAGTTTCGTACAAGTATTTTCAAAAACTCTTAAGGGCCATTTGGATACCTGGAAATATATTGTTTGTGAAATATATTACTGATGTAATCGATTACTGCCTAATACATTACCCACAAATAGACTGTTACTTGTTGGGAAGTATTTAGATGCAACTTAAGAAATGCATTGATAGTGTTTGGCTATGTCGGGAAGAAAAATGGAAAATGTATTACCAATATTTATCAACACTTGCCTATAAATTATTATTTTTTTCTTTTTTTTGTCACAAAATCTCACTGAAATGCGGAATTAAAGTCATCATCATACCATTCCAAAAATATTTTTCTAATAATAACATCATCACCATTCCAAAAAGATTTTTCTAATAATAACATCATCACCATTCCAAAAATATTTTTTAGTAATAACTTATTTTGCATATCTTTGGCACTTACATGGAATCAGATGTCTTCTAACATGATTAGATTAGTTTCAACGTGATAAGTCATTGAAATAATATAATTGGAATAAAAATAATATGATTGGAATAACATATTTTTATTGTGATAAGCCTTATCCACACCAAAATAACTTGTAAACTAGAAGGTTTGGTAATTGCAATAGGGTTTATCCATACCAAAATAACTTGTTAAAGAGCGAGGGAGGTATGACCTTATGCATACCAGTTATTAGGGCTCGAGAGAGAGAGGATACGTTATTAGGGCTTAAGAGAGAGATGAGACATGCTTAGAGAGGGAGAGACCATCTATGCAAATCAATTAGTTATTAGGGGGGAGAGGCCATCTATGCAAATCAATTAGTTATCAGGGCTCAAGAGAGAGAGGGCGGGCTTAGTGAAAGAGGGACCATCTATGCAAACCGGTTATTAAGACAAACATGTTATTATGGTTCTAGGGTTTACCAGTAAAGAGAGTAGAGTCGTTTCAGTAAGTTACTCAATAGGGAAATGACAGTTTAGCATGTTTTAGGGTAAATATCTCCATACCCCTTATTTTTGTTGTCTATTTCTTAGGAGATCCAAGGATTTAGATTATTTTTGGCTACATAAAGTCTCTATATTTTCTATCTTCTAACCCCCTAGATCCATTTGACCATGTATTATTGTCCTAAACAATTTAGGAGACCCAAGGATTTAGATTATTTTTTGTTGCATAAAGTCTCTATGTTTTAAATCTTTCAACCCCCTAGATCCCTTTGACCATATATTCTTGTCCTAAACAATTTAGAAAATGATTCTTTTTATTCAAAAGCTAATGCCCTATTAACCTCTTGACCTACTTCGTATCTCTCTCAAAACGCTCCATCTCTCTCTCTCATATTCCAATAGTAGAGCCCACCTTCCCCATCGTCGCTCTCTTGCCATTTTCTCTCTCACTCTCTCAAATACCCAAATTGTAGAGCCCACCTTCCCCATCGTCTCTCTTCTCTCGCTTTCTCTATCAGAACCGTCTCTCTCTCTCAAATACCCAAATCGGAGAGCACATTTGATTCTCAAATCCAATATTTAGAGATACTGTTTTTTTATGGAGAGAGGAAGAAAGAGAGAGAGAGTTATCTATTTTCAATAATTAAGGCATTTTGAGCCCATTGGTTTCAGAGAGTCGAGCTTTTTTGTATAAGGAACTGGTGCGTTTACTTTTTTGCATAAAGAATTGATACTTTTTACCTTTGGTTCAGAGCTTGGGCCTTTTGTTGTCACTTTAGTATGAAAATTAGGGTAGAGTTACTTGTTTGGGAAGAACCTAAGCCTTTTGTTGTCACTTTAGTCTGAAAATTAGGGTAGAGTTACTTGTTTGGGATGCACAAGAGTAGAGGTGAAGGAGTTGTGGGAAAAGGAGTTAGTGTTAGTGTGGAGGAGAAGGATTGAGAAGTGTTTATGTGGGGCTATTTTCCTGGTGCTTCTCTACAAAGAGCTCTTATTTCTTATTTTTAGAGAGAGAGAGAGTTCTGATGGTGAGATAAGAGAGAGACAATAAGGAGGGTGGGTTATGCAATTTGGGTATTTGAGAGAGAGAAAGTGGAGAGAGAAAGAGAGTTATGTTAAAGGGAGAGAGACGATTCGAGTGTGGGCTCTGCGCTTGGGGAATTAGAGAGAGACACACATAGGTTAAGAGGCTAAGAGGTTGGAAGATAGAAAACATAGAGACTTTATACAGTCAAAGAATCTAAATCCTTTGGTCTTCTAAGAAATAGGTAACAAAAATATGGGATATGGAGATATTTACCTTTTTTAAGGGTGGATATGGTAGAGAGACATGCGCCCAATATTTACCCAAATTACCTGTAAAGATTCCCAACTGTCAAGCGCTTAATAAATTTTTCATCTCATATCACCTGTAAAGATTTCTCAAAGATTACCCAAGCGTAATAAATTTTTTATCTCATATCAAACAGTGGAAATGTCATATTCCTTTATAATCTATTGTCATGTAATAGATTTTCAGGTACCCAAACGGCCCTTAACCTCACTTTAATACCCATATAATAGATTTCCATGTACCCAAACGGACCTTAGCCTCACTTTAATACCCATAAGAATTAAAAAAATCCTCTCAATCCCAATTAGATTATGGTAGGAATTTGATCAAATTTCGAAAGTTATTGAGAAATAAAATTATCGGGAATATGAAAGAACGAGAGGAACTCAACTTTCTTTGAAGTGTTTTAACGCTCCCGTCTCGATAGAAGAGATACAAATAGTACTCGCAATAATACTCCCACAATACAGCCTGATTAATAAACTTTTTCTGACTCTCTGAGTTGCACACTCAAAGATTCGCTTCAAATCAGAACGCTTCCTTCCCGTCAATTTGGATCACCTTTATAACTCTATGTCATTCTTCACCTCTTCCTTTTATGTGAGTGAGAGAATAAAAAATACAAAATAAAACTTATGAGATGAGGTGGTTAAAGAGAGTAAAACAGGGTCTTGAGGGAAGAACAGTAGTAAGTGGCATAAAGTCATATAAAAAATACATGGGTGAGAGATTCATAATTAGGTTAAAAGATGATGGTTCACATATACAAGAACAAAGTAGATTATCGAAAACAAAATAACAAAATGGTCAAAAATACTTTCCAACCTTTTCTATTATTTTGGCCATGAATACTTTTTTTTATATTTTATTATATTTTTTAGAAAATTTGGAAACTACCTCTCGTCACAAACTCATTTTTTTTATAAAAAAAAACAGTTACTTTTTTAACCGTTGTGTTTTGTCAAAATTTACCTTTAATATTTTCCAATTTTTTGAGATTTTTTTATTTCTTTATTTTTTTAATAATTTTCAGATGCTAGAACACTCGATCCTATTTGGACCAAGTTACTTAGACTCAGGCGAGTATTCGGCTGGGGGCATGGCCAAGTAGTCGACCCGAGTCAACTTTTCCAACACCGATAAAAACTTCGCTATCGAGGCTAAATACCCAAGTTGGAATTGAATTTCAGTTTCACCCCTCTCAAATCACCCTTATGGGGCTAAACAATCTTACAAAATCATTAAACAAGTCTAATCATATTAATAATAACTATTGAAATTAGTTTAATGGGAAGAACATTAAAAGTAAAATTTTCATTTTCATTTCCTTGAAATACATCTTAAAAAAAATATATAAAGAAAATATCAAAAGTGCTCCCATTCAGAATTGAAACGTACAACAACAATATTTTTTTGTTATTAGTGCTGCTTGAGTGGGCTGAGCAAATCATAAAAATACTCATATTTATTCAGAGTTGCAATATCAAACAAAAATATATATTTATTCAGAGTTGCAATAAACAAGTGTTCTTTTATTATATGGCAGCTCCTGTTGCTAACCTGAAGTAACCAGCTATAATCATTTCGGCCATTAAGCAGGCTTAAATTATCAAAGTCTCCACTTGCTCAGTGGACAATTTATTCTATTTAAATGTGGGAATGGGGTTGGGTCAACCTTTGTAACCCATTCTTCTGGACCCGACAGGTCAGGTTTGGTCCTTTTGTCCTTGACCTGACTTGGGTTAGTCTAGGTGCTGCTTAGATCTTGTTGAGTGTCAACCTGACCCAACCCTGGCTGATATATATTAATATAAATACATAATAATAATATTAAGTATATGGTATATTTTTAGACCTAGACCAGACCCGACCCAACCCACGAGTCCAAATGCAACCCATAACTAGTTAGGTCAGGTCGGAATTGCGGTCGACCTGGACACCTACCCAACCCAACCCATATCCATTCCTACCTAGGATATAAATTGCACCGACCTAAAATTACATATACATGGTGCCAAAAAGATCCCAAAAGAAAGAAAATTTAAAATTTTATTTTATTTTTTCATACTCATAATCACCTTAGTTTAGATCATAAATCCCTAAAAATTTAGATCAAAATTCTATTTCTAAGATAAGTTGGACTTTAGATCAAAATTTCATTCCCACCCAGGATATAAGTTGGACTTTATTTGAAACTTTTCTATATAATATTTTCAGAAAATTATGGTATTTAAAACTCTGAAACTTAGACTTTGGATATTTTGAGGTTTAAAAAGCCGGAAATTATATCTGAGAACAAAATCGTATTTAGAGTAAATCATAAAGGGTAATTTCGACCTTTTTGCCTCCACTTTTGGGGGGAAAAATAATATCTGAACGTGTGCCCTTCTTTTTCCCCCACTTTCCCCCTCATTTACAGAGGTGTTTTCAATTCACGGAAAGCACGCGATCTTGAAAAAGTCTCAGCTTTGTTCTGTATTTTCCCTTTAATACTTTCTAGCTATTTTGTGAATTAAATTATTCAATTTATATATATATTTTTTGATACTGTGTTGGTAATTGATTTCTCCTGATACTTGATGTTGGATTATTCATGTGAATTTCCTGATACTCGATGCTTCTTTTTGGAGTGTTTGTTGACGTTAATTTCTGTTTATCGAATGATTTGTTCGATTTTCTTATTCGTTTCTCTCAGTTTTTAGTTTTGCAATGTTTCATTTGATGGATTTTATGTGGCGTAAGTCATGTGAATTTCCTGATACTCGATGCTTATCTTTGCTGTGTTTGTTGATGTTAATTTCTGTTTATCGAGTGATTTGTTCGATTTTCTTCTTTGTTTCTCTCGGTTTTTAGTTTTGCAATGCTTCATTTGATGTATTTTATGTAGCGTTTTTTTTATGATTGCAGAAAGTAAATTTCATGGGATTCGTTGTTACCCAATCAAGAATATTTTTCTTGGAAGACATTTCCTTTCTCAATTTCTCATATTAAGTAGATAAATAATTTTATTTCAAAGAAGTGGGATTCAATGCAAATGTTACAATGTGTGTGTGTGTGGACACGCATGCGTGCATGCGTGTGCATGTGTGTGCGGCTGCCTGCGGGTGTGTGTGTGGGTGTGGGTGTGCATGTGCGTTTGTGAGAACACCCCGGTGAGTTTTTATAACACTTGCTAATGGGCCAGAAAACTTTTAAAAAGGATCCTCTCTATGGGGATTTGTTTGATCCCAAATTTTCTATTTAATACTCTTGGACGTAGTGAATAATTTCTAAAAGAAAAAAATTGAAAAGAACATAAAAAAGGGATTTCATTAAGGGAGAGAGAGAAAATTTGGTGAACAGCCGTGGTCCATTTCGGATTTAAGCCACTAAGAATTCAATTTTTTTTTTTTAAATTGTTCATCTGGTGATGATGAGAACATTTACAAACTTTGGGGTTGAAGAAATCCCCTCAGCTAGGTTTTTCAAAAATTTTGGACTTGTGAGTTAATGATAAAGAAATTAGCTCAAACGAGTGTGTGCGTGTACATGTGTGTGCATGCGCATGTGTGTGTGCACGTGCCGAATGGTCGGCTTGGATAGCCATGTTCACTGACAGGGTGGGGGCATTCTCATCATATTATTTGTGTGTGTGTGTGTGTGTGTGCGTGTCTATATATATATATTTTTATGCATGTGTGTGTGTATTTTGCACTAGTTTCAGCGCCCATGTTCCCCAATTTTCAGCTCAAAGGGATTTATAGAAAGAATTTTAAAATTAAAAAATACCCCTGCACATTGTCCGTTGGATGTGCTCAAATCAAATATGAGCTGTCTGGCCTTTACTATTTAATAGGCCAGCCGGCTTTTAAACATATTTCCGGTGTGTGTTTATGTGCCCACACGCGTGCATGTTAGTGTTAGTGTTTTTGAACTTGGAGAAAATTGGCAAATGATGGTTAACAAACAACATTGGCAGATAATATTGTGTGTTCAAGAGGCTTATGGATGAAGAGAAAGGTGTGAAGGATGCATTGCATTCTTAAAGGGTTAAATAAATGCTTGTGAGCCTATTGAATGTCCTGATTCTTAGAGGGTTTTTAATTTACTTTATTGTTGAATTGATCATTAATTTCAATCCCCTACTGGAAAAGGAAGAAATGAATACGGTATTGGCCAACAATGCTCACTACTGAAAACACATAGACAGAGCTTTCTTTGGTTAACTTAGCTCAATTGTGAAATAAATTTGTGCTCATATTAACCTATTTACTTTTGAATTTAGCTTAATGGCTTAGCTCGAAATGCAACTCTAGTTAAAATTGAATATGTTTAAATCATGTTCAGTTATTTACTTGTGCATATGAGTACCTTTCATTTCTGAATTAAGAAATTGTATTAGAGGGTCAATGAATTAGTGATGTCATAAGAGAGAATCCTAAACCCTTCATAGTCAAGCCCATCCTAGATAACCCATTGTGAGCGAACAAGGTTGCGGTTCACTGTCTTATCTAAAGTGGTGCTTATTAGTCTCAAATATGTTGAATCTCTTTACCTTTCATCATTAACTCATCTTGTTCAAGGAATATGGCTTGAAATGATCTTGCTATGTAGGTTCATTTAGCAATTAGCATAGCTGACTACCAGGACATATTTAACACTCTTGCACTTCAGTAGTCAACCTCAAGGACTAATCTATCTAAAATTTAGTACATTCACTTAGGTAACCCACAATGTTGCTAGAAACCGGGCTCCTTACGTAGTTATTAAAGTAGTGTGGGAGTGGCTGCATAGGGTCCTGATATGGTATCTTCTTGGTAACCACCTTTGTATAAATATTTCCTTTGGCGTCACCTTTTTTCAAGATGAATCATAACCTATCTCATTAAGATTTGATCCTTATAGTGCATTCCATAATAGACACACATTTAAGAATATATATTTCACATACATACTCTTATGATTATCAACTAGAAGAGAGAGATCACAATTACTTTGATCAGTATTTTTTTTCTTTTACTTTTCTCAATAAAGCTTCAATCCGTATATGTTACTTGATGCAGTGAGAAAATATTTATGTTTGACCTTTATAGGCTAGCTTTTCGTGCTTGTGGCATCATTTTGTTTTCACACTTTTGGAGAATTATGTGAAAGCGGTCTCATTATTCCTGTGCTGATTCACTTAAACTTCTCATCAATTTCTTTTTCTAGTTATATTGAATTTCACATACATGCATTTGAATTTCATGAAGTAACTTCTCTAAAAATTACATATCTGCCTTGGTAGCCCATAATGTTTCCGAGAAACTGGGTTCATTACGTAACTATTGATGTAGTATGCTGATAACTGCATAGTGGTCTAATTGAATATTTTCTTCATAACCATTTTTATGAATTTCTCCATTGTTGTCAATTTAATTGAATTATGTGTTATCTCATTATGTTTGATCCTTGTAATGCATGCTAGCACAGAAATAACTTATAAGTGCCATGTGGCGAGACTTTCATGATTATTAATTCTTAGGGACATATATCAATCAGTTTCTTTGTTTTTCCTTTTATTCTTTGATAAGGATTTTTTATCCATATGAGTGACTTGATGCAAAAAGCAAAGATTCATGATATATGTTTATTACTGTGTAGCTTTGGTTGCTTGTTACTCTTTCAGATAATTATTCACACATAGTTTCTTCTTTCCATAGTTTCTTCTTTCCTTTATTTACTTAAACTGTCATGAAGGTTATTTTCTGGTTATAGGAAACTTATGGTGACATTTGTCTCTATCTAATCTTCAAGCAGCTTTGAGAAAAGTCAATAATGGCACTACCCCCTTTTGATGCTGAAAGGGCTGAATCATCTCGACAACATGTTGTAGCTCTTAACACGCAATTTGCAAGGTCATCATTTGGTCTTGGATGATATTCTTTTCTGCTTTTTTTTTTTTGGATTCATTTTGGTTGGGATCAAATATCTTTCATTTATTTAGGTTATGGTTCCAGAATAGTAGCATATGAAAAGTGTCTTGGGTAGTGATTTCAGGTGTTTTGTAGATGTAGCTTCTTCAATACTTTTTTGTTTGAGAAATAAATAAGATTTTCCACATATTCTTCTTTTGTGCAAGTAAAGTTTAGGTCCTCCAAGAGATGCTTTTCATAATTTGAGGTTAGTAAATTTAGTTTCATTGATGAAGTTATTGTATGCAGGATAAAGGTTAAAAAACATTTTTACTCCTAATGCATAGCAATGATATGCTAGAACTGATGTTTTGGCTCATTTTACTAAATTCACATTTTTTCCTTTGAATATTAAGCATCAAATTTCCTTGTTTGGAATGAAGGCAAGGTATAATATAATCCAATTAGCTATCGAAATATCATCGTCAATTGGGTCATCTCTTTAATAAATGGGGATAAAGATAGTGAGTTTTTCAGGGGAAAAAAAATGTGGACTAGAAATTGGGGCCCATCATTGGCGGTGTATTGGTTTGGTGGTCCTGCTCTCCATTTATAACCATCCATCACTTCAATGAACAGTAATGACCCAATGGCTTATGATTTTCCATAGTCCATTTGTGTTTATGGTAAACTCTCCCTGGACTGAAATGGACAGAATTTGCCATTCCTCTCTGCTTATGCGAGCATATCTGGTTTTGATCAGTGTTTAAATTTGGCTGCTTTTCGGATCCAGAGAATTGTCTAGGATCATGTATGTATGTGTGTGTGTGTGCGCATGCACGTGTGTGTGTCTGTCTGTGTGTGCGTGCTCGCATGTGTGTGATGTGTGTGCTTGTGTGTGAGTGCGCACACAAGTGTGTCTGTGTGTGCGTGCGTGTGTGTGGATAGAGGGAGGGAGGGTGGTACATTCCCTCGTCACTTAGACTTATGACAAGCTGTTAATTCTTGATGAGCAGCTGGGTGCAATCACAGCTTAAAAATCACCCTGATGCGCTGTGGATGGATGGTGTACAAGACTATATTCGTCATGCTTCACGTATCATGGTAGATTCTTAACCATGACTCTCCTATTTAATCTAGAATTTAAGTCATCTACTTTCGTTTAGAAATATGTCCAGAGTATGGTATACTTGAGATGATACCCCTTCTTTGTATGTTTTCCATAATGTATTGAAACTCTGTACTCTATCACCTGTTCCATAAGCCTTTAAAATTGGGCAACCAAACTTGTGCATCTTACAAAGTTGAGGAGAAACTAAAAGTATGTAGGAAGAGGCAGTAAATAAAGCGAAACAATTGATCATAGTTGAAAAACATTGAATGAAATTTAATGATATAATAAAATTAGTATATAGAGATGTTCTTAAAATGGATGATTCTACTGTCTCTACTGTTTTTTTAAAACTGAGTTTACTCTTCTCAACATGGTTAGTTTGAGAAGAATAAGTGAACCCATTCTACCGCCTTTTTCGAACTGATTTTACTCAATTGCATAGTTCAATGTGAGGGTTCTCATAAGATGATTGACATAACTTGATTGGCTGCATTATAATTTTGTAAATGCCTTATACTATTTTGTTAATTCATTTTTTCTTTCTAAGCTTTTTCATGGAAAATGTTGGTTTTGCATAAAAACTTCGTATGTAAATATATCCTTGATCCTGAACCATAAAATTCAATAACCTTATAGGAGGAATTCAGTGATATAGTTGGTTGGCTTAGAGAAAATGCAGCAGCTGCCAATGGTGTTACTGATGCAAATAAACTGACGGCTAAGAATAGAGTTCTGCCTGAAATCAAGACTCAAAAATTGCAAGCACAAGTTCCCAACACGAGTGGGTCCAATCCAAGTGGTCCATCTATGAGCTTTGTGAACCCTTGGGGTGCTCCTCCAGCATCAACCAATCAAATTTCAGTTTTTCCAGGTATGTAGTGTGATAAATAATATACTTGTACTATATTATGCATGTTTTGTTCATGAATACTGCTCATGTTGGTTTTCCTTCTCTTTCAGGAACTCAAAGTGCTACTCTTACTGCAAGGGAGACATCTGACAATGTGGACGAAGGTGACACAATGCTGATCTTGTTCCCTTATTAATTTAGGGTTTGAAATATGCTTATCTAATAGTAGAAGGCGTTCACTTTTACTTTTGCTAATTATAAACGAGGATCTTACTGCAATAGGCTTAGCATTAAAAAAAAAAAAGATCTTACCCGCAATGGACGAGTTCCCTGGTTGTTTGGCCAACAATGGTCCAAGAATTCTGAATTTGATGTGGATGGATATTTTTTAAGTATGTCTACATTGTATGACATTTTCCTTAGAGTTGGTGGTTATTTGGGTTCTACACTTTGCACTGTATACATCTCTATGTTTCCAAAAAATAGGAAATTTGAAATTTTTCTGTCAAGTTGCCCATGCCTTTTTCTTATGGACTCCGTCCTTATAAAGATGATGTGAAACTGATGCAATTCCGAGTTCCAGTGTCTAGATTACATATTGAATCACCTCTTGTTGGGTAACAAGGAATTTTCTAACTCTTTCTTGGTTAACTTGGATTTTTCACATCTTTAATGTTTTTTTATTTTTTATTTTGAGAGAAATGGATACTGTTTTTTTTTTGGTGTATTTGACGATCTAATCTCGTTGTTTTAACACTTTCTAGGTGATGAAGTGGAACAACCAAGTAGCCCTTCCTTGAAGAAGACTGAAGAGCAAGGAGTCAGAGTGGTACATGAAGTCAAGTGCAAGTTATATATAAAGGTATCTCCTTAGATGATGATATTGTGAAATTACAAGTGCAAGTTATATATAAAGGTATCTCCTTAGATGATGATATTGTGAAAGTATGTTATTTCAATCAAAATTGAAAAGCTTGAATTCTGGTCTTGACTTGATTTGGTTCAATCCGAGTTGACTCGAAAGTCTTATTTCAGTAAAAATTGAAACTTCCCTTAAAATTTTCTGTTTTTGATAAGACTTAAGGATTGTTCGCATCCTATAAAAAACTTGGTGAATCTTGTGAAATCATCTTTATTAGATTTTAATAGCTTAAAAAGAATTTCTCATTAGTTGTTGGCTGATACCATTGTGTTCACTAAAATATCTGCAGCCTGACGATCCAGTTGAGAAGGGATGGAAGGATATGGGTATGGGTCAACTTTCTATAAAATGTGTTGAGGGTGCTGCAAAAGCTACGAAGGAATCTAAACCAACAATTATAATCAGGAATCATGTATGATTTACTTTTTAAACTTCATTTCAACGAACGATTACAATTATGAATCATGTATGATTTACTTATTAGTTTTTAGACTTCATTTCATAGAATTAACATATCAGCAGTTGCATTGGAGTTATTTTTATTGAAAATGGTTCTCAATTTTTAAAACTATCAGCCTAAGAGTATGCAATGTGGTTGTTTTGATCACCACTTGCTTATGGAAAGTTGTTTTTCATGCTTTCTAAATTGGATTGTATATTTCACTTATGCTTGTATCATGTGAATTCATAAGTTCACATAAATATCCATGATCCAATTTAGTCAAAATGTGAGCTAGAATCATCATTATCATCATCATAGCCTTTTCCCAATTAATTGAGATCAGTTACGTGAATTTTGGTCCTCCATTCTACTCTAATAAAGGTCATACCCTCAGTGAGGCCATAAGTTCTCATATCTTTTCGGATTACTTCCAACCTTGTCCTTTTGGGCCTACCCTTTACCCTTTTCAGTCCTTCTACTTTAACCGTCTCGCACTCCTAACAAGTGTTGTACTTGATCGGCTCCACACATGGCCAGCCCACCTAAGACTACTCTCTCTCATCTTATTGTCTATTGGTACCACACCTAAATTCTCCCGAATGGATTCATTTCGAATTCGATCCCTTCTTGTTTTGCCACTCATCCATATCAACATCCTCATCTCCGTTACATTCATTCTATAGGTATATTGTTTTTTGGTCGTTCAACATTCCGCCTCATAGAGCAAAGCTGGTCTCACAGCTGTCTATAGAACTTGCCTTTTAGCTTCATTGGTATGCGGCAATCACATAAAATTCCAGTTGCACCTATCCACTACGCCACCCAGCTTGAATTCTGTGTGCGTTATCTTCCTCAATCTCACCATTTTCCTAGGTTATCGACCCAAGATATTGAAAGTGCGGTCTTTTTGTACTTCCTGGCTGTCAATCTTAACTACTTCCTCGTCACTACTCCTACTATTACTAAACTTACATTCCATATACTCTTTCTTAGTCCGGCTAATTTTAAAACATTTGGATTCTAGAGAATTTCTCCAAAGTTCTAAATTTGTGTTGATGTCATTTCGGGTCTCGTCGATCAAAACTATGTCATCTGCGAACAAAATGCACCACAATACATCATCTTGTAGGTGCCTAGTTAAGTCATCTAAAACTAAGACAAAGAAGCACGGGCTCAATGCTGACCCTTGATGTAGACCTATTGTCACTGAAAACTCACTCGTCTCTCCACAAAATGTAAGCTAGGATGTGAAGACAAAATACCGCAACCTAAACGGGACTTTAGTTTATAGATTCCTTTGTATGATGAGCTCTTTTGCTCCTGCAAAACCAAGCTCCCCTGATCACCAAGGGAAATATGAAATCCTGTAGCATAAAAGTAGTCTTTGAACTCATGAGAAACATGTACTACCTTTCAATGGGGCACTTGAAATTAGAGTAAGAATGAATACAATGGGTAGTACTAAATTTCATCTAATAACAAGGATTGATGTTTGACGCTTGGAATAGGCCCATCTACGTATGCCTTTACATGCCCATAAGAATAAAGTCTTAATCTAGAGACTGGATGATAGTACCAAATTTCATAATAATAATAATAAGGATTGATTCTTGATGCATGGAATAGACCATCTGTATATCTTTACATGTCCCTCAATGAATTCAGCATATTAATTTGCCCATAAGGAATAAAATCTTAATCAAGAGACTGGAGAAGGTTCCCATCCTTCAATGTGAGCAATTTCAAAAACCTGTTTTGTACGAGGAACTTGAAAACTTCAGTCAAGACAAGGCTCTATAACTCCTAATTTTGCTAGTTGTGTTGAGTCTTAAAAAATCCAGCCCAGCCCTATAATTCCTAATTTCACTACTTGTGTTGAGTCCAAAGTCCTAACAAAATCCAGCCAGCCCTATAATTTGGCTTGTTCGGCTTTGGTTCAAGTAAACTAAATTGACTGGATTTTTCATTCCAAGTCAATTCAGTACAATTCAGGAGGACACAATCCCTGAAACTTGTCAAATATTGAGTGTTTTACTTCAAATATTGAGCTGGTGATTTTTTTCTAGCTCACTCTTTGTTTCAAATGATCAAGCCCCTTAGAGCTATTTTATTTGTTGGAGGACAAGGATGGGTGTTTTGGGCCGAGGGTTTAGGTGTTTATTGTCCTCTCCAAGAAAAACGAGGAAATGTGAAATTTTGGTGAAAATGTTGATGCCCAAACTTAAAACACAAATTTCAAGAGGAGATGAATGATGGCTAAAACTAAATTGAAACGTTTCAACAAAGATAGTTTATCAAAGTGAAGGAATGGGGTTGAGGTCAAGGTGGTACTACCACCTATGACTCAGCTACCGGTCTCGGTTTCCATTCCTACCAATTCTAACCCCTTTCGAAAGCTACTGACGGCTTCAAAAATTTCTAACCCACTACTAGCAGTTCATCATCATCATCATCATTATAGCCTTTTTTCAAGTAATTGGGGTCGGCTACACAAATCTTGGTTTCACTATTCTGCTCTATTTAAGGCCATACTCTCAATGAGGCCATAACCCACTACTAACAGTTAATGTAAAAAAAAAAAAAGGTTTTACAAAGTGAAGGTTTCAAGGAGCTGATTGGTTTATGAAGCTGTCTTCTCAAGGTTGACCTGCAAGGTATTCATCAAAAATATTGCAAAGATGAACATGTAAGACCCTTCTGGTCTGATATAAACCAAGTTAGCAGAATTGGAACTAGTGATTTGTAATTTGAATGTTTAGTAGCTTATTTGTTACGTGGCTTTAATAATTTTCATTAGAGCATAATTATTTGACAATTTTCCTATTTTAATTTTCCGTTTTTAGAATGAGAAAAATTTACATTTATAACTTTGCATTAAACATATTTTTCAGTTGGCTTTGTGTAGATTCTACTGCAGATACATCATTCAAATATCCAATTTAACAGGATGTTATTGGTATTTTCTGTTTTTCTTTCTCGTAACTTGATTACAGGTTGGGAAAGTGTTGCTTAATGCTTTGATTTATCCGAGCATCAGAATGAATATTCAAAAGAACACTCTCGCTACAATATTCCATACTTCGGTAATATTCCTAGAACTGGAACACTCAATGCTATTTTATTTCTATGTCAGTTGATGCAATCTTTGTACCTATAACACACACACACGAACACACACCCCCACCCACCCCAAAGAAAAGTGCAGAAACAAGAAAAAGATGGCTTTTACAATCTGAAATAAAGCCATATCTTTTGGGGCCACTTTTTACTGGATCATTCTTCATCCTTCTCATCTGCTGTCCCTTCTTACTTAATGTTAAAGATGTTTCAACTGAATACGTTAATGCAAAATTTATCATACAGAGCCAATGGGCTACATAAAACCTTGTTTGTAGAGGTTAGTACCGTTCAATAAAATGATGAGTGGTGACGGATAGAGAGTAGGACCCATTAATGAGTTTTTCCTTGTTCTTGTAATTCCCACTTTCTATTATTGTGCATCATCTCACTAGGAGATGACTCCGATTGAATATGGTTTTCCATTGTCCACTGGAACATTATGCACTTCTATCTTATGCTGAGCCTAATCTGAGGTTGCATGTAGGGTGATGGTTTCTCTGGTGGAACGGAAACAGGTAAAGATAATGATATTGTCGTAGCTCGCACATACTTGTTAAGGATGAAATCTGAGGAGGAGACAAATAAGCTTGCTGAAGCCATCAAAGTGTACACTCCAGTGCTTGAATAATCTCTCATATGGGTAAGTAACTTAACCGTGCATAACTGATCTATTTTAAAGTTCTCTTTGCTTTTATACTTCAATGAGATCTAGAGTTAAGTTTTGTGCACCTACAATTTTGTTTATGTATTTATGGAGAATAAGTTAAAGTAGGGGAAATTCAGACCTTGGGATGCTTTTTATTATCATTTTTGTCTTGAGTTCTTTGGTTTTTGGATTATTTGAGGTTTTCCAAATGGGAAAGTATCCAATATATGGAATGAGTACCGTGAAATGTACTCATACCAGCCACCATGCACCGTCTGAAACTAGCGATGGACAGTGAAGATGAGCCCTTGTCCCCGCTGTTAGGCCCGTATGGTTATTCTACAGAACAACTTCTCATTTCCACTGTCCATTGCTGTGCACGGATGGTGGATGGGCAATTGAGAAACCTTGCACTATAATCTACTAGAGCTGTGGAATATAGAATATGGATCCCTCCAAATAGAGTTTAATGGTATGAGAACAATGTAGAATACATGCAAGTATTGTTAGCAGTGCACAAGGTTGGTAATCCGCAGTCCCTTCTTAGTTCTTATTAATTGATGGTAGATATGGACCATTGTCCTGCTTTCAAGTCCATCAGAGGAACAACCGATCACATCCGCTATCCGTCGATAAGTGTGCATGGGGGGGTAGCCTTGTCTAAGCACCCAAAATTATATTCATATGTAGTGTAAAGTATATAAATCCAAATTATTGGGGACTTGATACTATTGTTGGTGTGATTACAATAAATGGTACTCATATGGAATCCATCATCTGTTTGGGTAGTGGAGTGAGTAACCATCCCCACTTAAAAAGACGACCAACTTTAAATGCAGAGAAGATGTCAACTCCACCACCCAAAGGCAAGTGAGGGTCTTGGATGTTGGGTCTGAGCACCCAGCACTATACATACATTGGTTATAAAATATTTTTCCAAATGAATAAGGAAAAACATTTCATAGTTTGTCCCTTGGGGTAAAGTATTCAAACCGACATCCACCGTCTATATAATTCTACCAGGACAGTGGTTAATGAGTTGTTGCTCATCCTCAATACCTTCCCTTTGTAACAAGAACAGTTGTTCAACTCCACCGCCTATGATAAGTATGGATTGTTGATATTCGGTATGAGTACCCGTATATTATACTCATATGTAGTAAACAGAAAGTCCCAATGAATAGTCATATGTTGCATGAAAAATATTCTAAATTGAGTACGAGTATAGGATGGGTACTTGGACAGAACATCCACCATTGAAGACTATCCAAATATAGTGGATGATGAGCTGCCTAGTATTTTGGCAAGAACATTACTCAACTCGGTCATGCAAGAAGTATGAACAATGGATATTAGGTAAGAGTACTTTTGTACCACGCTTTTTCATGGTATCTGGTCCCTATTAAACAACTCTTAAGAATATTACCAGACACAAGTTTTACCTCATTAGAACTTGTTAGCTATAGCATTGGCAATGGATAGTTGGGGGCTTGCTGTAAAACATGCACGTATAAAAGGTGTTGCAGAGACATGCTTGCATGAGATGGGGATTGTTCCACTTCATATGTATTTACACATGCAGGCATCTCTTGGATGCGTGCACTCTTGCATTTTCTTGCATCTGAACAAAATTTTGCTTTTGCGAAGTTTATGCATGCTTTAAGAAACCTCGTCTGTTGGTTATTATTAGTTTCATATGTCATGCTAGGATCAGTAATTAAAAAGTTGATCTCAGGTAGGGACTTGTCAGGGTCTAGATCCTGAGCCCCCAAGAGTTGGGCCAAGAAAGTTTTAACAGGAGAAGTCCTAAAAATTTATGTAAAACCAGGAGGTTCTGGTGATTTGGGAGTTTCTCGACTCAAAATTATCTGGCTCCTGATCCCATCGGACTCAGATGATTGCCAAGTCGAGATTAACATTTTCAATGTATAGAGTGACACTGAATCAAAGCACACCATGTCTTGATGGATGGTGAGGACACATTTGTAAACACTGCTGAGAATACCACTTGCTGCTAGAGTCTGTTTGTTACCATACCACTTGATAAGTTACTTGCCTATTGTTTTTGGTTGGTTGAGATTATAAAACAAATTATTTTTTGGTATACATTAATTTATTCTCTTTGTTACCTTATTACACAAATTTCTAAACACTTGTCGAAAGGACTCTCTCTCTCACTCTATCTCTCATAAAAATGAAACTTATGTAAGAATCTATGTAACTTGGACACGTGTATCTATGACCTTTGAAAGTTGTTGGCACATCAAGAAAGACATATTGTTTGACACTTTAGAAATTTAAACACACTATTTTAGCCTTTTTCTTGAGAAAAGTTCACTTTGAAAGAACTTAACTTGAAATCCCACCCAGACTCCCCTCACGTTGAGTGATGTATGGATGTGCATGTTTCAATGGCCAATTTTGCTGTTCTTATTTCTGATATGCGCATCGTGTTGTTATGTATTTGTGAGGATCCTTGTAGACAACTGCTGGGAGCAATGTTGTTAAATTTGCTTTTGGCTTCGGTCTTCAAAGCGAAGCAAAAGTTGTAGCTCAGAGAGAGAGAGAGAGAGAGATTGTTGGGTAAACGGAGAATTTACATCCTAGTAATTTGGAGTTAAGAGAGAGAGAGAGAGAGAGAGGGAAGGAGGGAGAGAAAAAAAGTAAACTAGAAAAATAATAGACAAGAATAAGGGTGAGAGAATATCCATCCAAAATCACAAGACTCGAGCATTTCTTCTTTTCTTCTCTCTATTTTTTTTGGGTCTAATAATTATATATTTATAAAAGAAAATAACCTTAAACCTAATTTTCTTCTTAAGAAATCTGAATTAATTTTAAATCCTAACCTTTCATCCTTTATTTGAAAATAAACTTTTTTGCTCTATCCATCAATTGTCTACAATTAAAAAATATACAAGTGCCCTCATAGAAAACTAGAAATCCAAAATAATCTCTAAGCTGTTTATTAAGGTGTTGAGAACAAAGAAATTGCTAGATGAACGGAGGAAATGTATTGTGGTACCTATTTACAAGAACAAAGAAAGCATACAAAATTGTGCGAATTATCGAAGGATCAAACTTATGAGCCACACCATGAAGCTTTGGGAGAGAGTAATCGAGTAAGGATTAAGGCAAGAAACAAGTATATCAGAAAACCAATTCAATTTGTGCTAGGGAGGTCAACAACTGTGGTTATTTTCCTACTTAGGCGATAGAGAGAAGTTTAGGATGAAGAGAAAATCCTACAAAATAAAAAAAGTACCTATTAAATCATTCTTTTGGGGTGGGAGAAGTTCAACCTCGAGCTTATTGTGTGCAATATATCTCTCAAAAGCTAATTGAATAACCAATGTAGTCTTATTATTTATTGATGTACTTTGTATTATTTATTAGATTAATCAATCACACTTGATGTGCAACATGTAGTGGAACATTGGGATGCGAAGTATAGTTTTGATTTCATTTTTAAGTTTTTCATAAAACTTGGGAAGATTAATTTTGATATCAACATTTTCTCAAAACATATAAGCTCAACTGGTAGTGGAGTTTGATTAATCCTTGCGATATTTTTTAGTCATTGCAATCACTGAATTATTTCACCAATCATTGCAACCTAGAGTGAGATTTGGTGTCGGATTTATATGATTGTGAGCACCATCTTGTAAATGAGCAATATTTTTTAATCATTGCAATCACTTAATTATTTCACCAATCTTTCCACGAAATGTGCCTATATCTTCTTGAATTTAGTGGATTTGGCTTGGACTATCTTCCATGACTTGATTTATGTTCTATTTAATTTGTTGATTCGCAAGCTCCACTGTAGCATACTTCCTAAGCCGCAAGAGTGAATTTTGGTGGCATTATGATTTATAGACCCTTCTGTAGCTCTGATAGCAATTGGCGTGGGGAAGGAGTGGGAAAAAAATAGCAAACTAGAAAAATAAGCACAAGAATTAAAATGTGAGAGAATATACTCTCTCTAGGGTTTGCGGGGAGTCTAATCTATTTTTTTTTCTTTTTTCACAAGACCCTAAAATATAACTTCTCCCCAATAAATTCTAATCAGTATTAAATCCTAACCCTTTATTTTCTAAAAAAAAAAAAATTTCAGTTCTACCCAGACAATTCTCTACAATGAAAATGACCCACCCCAAACCCCAAATCTAAAATCTAGAACTAGTAAACTAAAAACATTAAAAACCTTTTATATCATACTTACTTCCATGTAATTTGGGGTGAAAGAGAGATTACATCCTCGTAATGTGGGATCTGAAAGAGTGATTTCATCCCCTCCAATTTGGGTTTCTAAACTAGAAGACTCATCTACAAGGTTTCCCGAGGGAGTGCAAAAATGCTCCTAGTAATATTTTTATTTTAGCAAAAGACTTGTATAAAAAGAAATACGTTTATGTAAGGTTGCAACCTTATGTTGTAGAAGTAAGTGTACCTCAAAAATCCTATAGGAAAGAGTGTTACTGAAATTGGAAGACCATCCAATTGATCATTTCCACCTTGAGATGTATAAATTTAAATAATAGAAAGAGAGAGAATCAGGTCCTAAAAATGTTATATCTTATAACACGTTATCTAGACCATCTAATTCAAGATTTTTTAAATGTTTATAAATTTACTCAACTTGCACATTTTAAAATTTCATGATTAGGGTTGAACATGGATTTTCAAGTCATTATAAGGTTTCCTATATTGGAACTATATAATTCAGTAAAATTTAGAGGTGTGCCTTATCTGTACAAAAAAAAATTAAAAATAAAAAAAATAATGTAGGCAGAAACCTCACCCATTTAAACAATGGTATTAGGTTAGTTTTTTAGGCTTTATGGGATTCCTCCATCCAAACTAAAATGTCTAGAAGTCCGTGTAATAATTTGTTGAATTATTGCTAATTTATAGCCTATAAAGAGTACTCCCGCATGAGCACGCTATATATTACTCCCTAGGTCAAAAGAACTGCTGGATAGGATTTTGAAAAAGTTTTGGGATACATTTCACAGTCACCGGAAAAAGAACCGAATGAGTATTTTAAAAAAGAAAAAATTGGATTTTCGATTGCTAAATACTTAGATCTGACCCTTATTGGACGGTTCAAAGAAATTGGATGGTTAATAAAAAGTTAGTTTCGACCATTTACCTTTCAAGGTGGACACAATTAATCTTGACCATTGGATGTGAAATTGAGTGGCTATATTTATTTCATTGATCAAGCTCAATATTCAAAAGAATTTTTTTTTGACTTTGTGGCACACTCAAGCTATTAGATTTCACGGCAGATTGTTACAAGTAATTATGACCTCTTTATATGAAAGGCAATTAGTATCATTGTATACAACCCCTAATAAATTTTGCAGTTCTGAAAAACTCATGGACACGCTCCCTCAGGGAGCATATAATTTCAGAGCTTATATGTTGTCATTCTTTCATACAATAGTGTAGGGAAAAGGCAAAGGTTCATATAAGGTGCCAAACTTATACTATAGAAGTAAGGCACTCCACAACAACTCACCGGCAAATGTCGTTCTATTGCTGAAAGACCCTCCAATTAATCAAGATATATGAGTGTAAAAACAAAAGAAGGATTTCAAGTCTTAGAAATAGTATATCTTGAAATGTATTAGGTAAACCATCTATTTTCAAGATTTTTTTAAGTGTTTGTAAATCCGTTAGATCTACATTGTCTTTGCAACTTTAAATTTCACGAGTAGAGATGGCAATAGATTTTCAAACCATCACAAAAATTTGCGGTATTGAATCAACATCATTTAGAGGTGTGCCTTGTTATGATTGTTTAAGTGGTCAACCTTATACAAACCTTATGCAAAAAAACATGAATAGGCTTCAGGAGGTAACAAAGATTTGGGCATTTAAATCAGCAATGCACTCTGTGGGAAGGCCAAGAAAAGCATTCATGAGAAAATCATGAATAGGATCAACAGTGGCAACCCCAACAAGCCTACATTTCCCTTTATCATCCATCCTCTCTCCTTTGCCATTTTTAATTACTCCTTTAGCCTCTTCAGTTGTTAAAATAGTCTCCACCATTAGAGCTGGGGGTCTATACAAGCTCCCAGCAGAGAAACAGAACTTGGCTCTAAATTCCAAATCCACCTGCAGTAATAAACTATACCCATGATCACAAAATTTTAGAGAGAGAGAGAGAGAAAGAGAGATTGGGTATGTCCTAGAAACTTAAATGTGTCAGCCACTGAGCTGAAAGTTTGAAGTCCATAACTGTGTGTGAGAGAGAGAGTTCCATTATGTAATCTAGTGATATTGAGATAGAGAGAGAGAGAGAGAGAGAGAGAGAGCTTGGGTTCTATCCTCAGTCACTAGCTGCAAGTTAGAGAGAGAGAGAGATTGGGTTCTATCCTGTCAGTCGCTAGCTGCAAGTTGGAGAGAGAGAGAGAGAGAGAGAGAGAGAGAGATTGGGTTCTATCCTGTCGGTCACTAGCTGCAAGTTCAAGGCTCTTGTCTATAGAGATGTGTGTGTGTGTGTGTGAGAGAGAGAGAGTGGGCCTCACCTTCCCAGTTCCTTCATTGATGATCCCATCAAATTTCTCAGGAACTATGTCAATCTTCAAGAATGGTGGCAAAGGCAAGCCCAAGAACCTGGTGGTCCCATAATTCAGTGGTGGAATATAGAGAGAGCCAATGTCAAAAGAGACCATTAACTCATTAGAGGAACCATCACTACTTTTTCTTCCTTTTCCTCTACCTGTGCCCCCCTCTGCATTATAATCAAAATTGGGGTATCTTGATATCCCAAGCTTGCTATCTCCAAGAGTTTGAAACTCAACTTTGATGGTGCCCTCCTTTTTTGATGGATTTTCAGTAATTGTGGAGATGGGTTTTTCTGAATCTTGATCATATAATGAAAAGAACTTGGTTGTGTAATTTCCATGCTTTTTTTGTGTTGGAAAGAAGGGTGATGGAATTGCTGTTAGGGGGGATTTGCAGAGCATTGTGGTGTGGTTGCAGCTTTTACCTTAATTCTTAAGGAGTTTATACTTTCTTTAGTACTTGTACATATGGAATGGGATTTTGGATCTTTCTGTGTTTTACTTCAAAGTGTGTGGTGGGGATTTTTCATTTCCTTATCTTTGATATGGTCGTAGAAGGTTGGAGTGCTGATTCTAAGAGGAATGAGAGTCATGGTGTTTATTGGACACCTGTGTTGCCCCTTGCCAATAGAGCTGACAATGGACGCGGACCTAACCTGGGACCCGAGGGGTAGACCTGATCGGGTCTGGGTATGGGTTAAAAATTGGACCTAGTGGGTTGAGTCCGGCTGAATCCCATATCACTTTTTCAGATCCGGGTCCAGCTAATGCTACCCCTATTTGCCAATAGCAAATCACCAAGATAGTCCATCCATTTTTTACAAAGGAGGAGAGAGAGAAAAAAAAAGAAAACTTAGGAGATGCAAAATTGGAGAGAAAAGGGAAATATAAAGTGTAATAAAAAAGAAAAGGAAAAATATCGGTCAAACCACATAAAAAAAAAAAAACAATAAGGTGGCTAAATCCATAGATTTACCAACAAAATAGTTCATTTCAAAGATCTTTTAGCGTAGGTACCTCTTTTACGATTTTATTGGAAAATTTCCGAACTTAACCAACTTTTGGATTAGGAACTGAGAAGTAGCAGGGACAATTGGATAAATTTAGGCTACCTAAGTGAACTAATGCCAATGATCAAAATACCCTTGCTTAATAACTTGATCTCTTTCTTATTTCACACTCCAAATCCAAAATATTTTTTTTATTAAAATCTTTGGAACATCAAATATGCAAGAGTCGGACTTGGGCCAAGACGGTAGAGACTAGGTTTTCATAGCACAACTTCTCAATTTCCATTCGTTTGTATCCTTGTCCAAAAAAAGCATAGAATAGGCAAGGTATTTGGATAATTTGGCGAGCCAGATGAAACAATTACCCCTACTTAATTTAGTTTGTCAATTCATAATATAATTTTATATTATTTTTTATCAAAATCTGGTATATTTAACAAGGAAAATTGTTTCATGCAGGTTGGCCCCCATTTCTATATATGCGATCTAGGAAGTGTAAAGCATCCAGCTTAAAGATGGATGCAAGTTGGTGTTTCATCTAAAAACAATGGAAACTAACGATCCAAATGTTTTTTTACTAGAATCATTATTTTTTAATTTTTAAAATTTATTTATTTTTCATATTCATGATCTTCATGTTAGAGATTACATTTCTTTAAAAAGTAAATCTTAAAATCCATCTCAAAAATAGATTTATTAAGAGGCCCGCATTTCTACATATGCTTGGCTGTATAAAAACTGGGTCCTTTTAACAATTTAACTCAATTAAGTAGTCAAATTATAAAAACAAAGATTAGTAAAATTCCCAATAAGAGATGAATAATTTAATAGTTTAATTTTAAAATACCCACAAAAACACATGTTAAATTGGAGTACCACACGTTAAGTTGGAGTAGTTGCAAATGAGCTAAATATTAAATAATTCTTCCTCTTAAGATTATTTTTTTAAATTTCCCTTATAAAAATAGCCCTGCTTATTCTAAAATTAAAATCCAAAATAGGAGAATTTGGGGATTTTTTTATTATGAAGTCACTGGAGAGGTGTATAAGCCAAAGGTCTTTTCAAAAGTAACAACTTTCTTGCTAATTCTATTGCCTTAACAACGCCATTGATTTCTTTGAGGAGGTGACTATTTTATTGACATTTTACAAAACAAAGAATAAGAAATAAGGGCTTCGTACTATCGGGATTGTCTACAGAGAAACTATTTATCTTTTGTACATAGAGATTACAATAATTATTGCCCCTTAAAATTCAGAATGGGTGGTTGTAAGAGTGTCATTGAATAAACATAAAGTTTAAAAAAAAAATTTCTCAGATTTCGTGACTTATCTCAAGTCGTCCAATTTGATGTTTAATGAATGAGAATGATTGTGACCTCCATGTACACAAAAACAAATGGTCTCTTTGTAGACAATCCCAATACTATCACCATTATCTTTAATATTCCAAACCAAAAATTTTAGGGGGGATGATACGAAAATTAGTGAAAGTTAGTAAGCCACCCATGTTTTGGGTAGGACAAGCCAAAATTATGCATAATGAAAACAGAAGCCCTGAGTAAACTTTTATATATTGCATGTAGTTGTGTTCAATTAAACAGGCAAAAGGACAACTATTTGCCATAATCTTCTCTTTTAAGTATGTAATGTTGTAAATAAAAGCTAGCTTGATCATTAAAATATGGGTGCAGTTTCCAGACGGACACCTCCGCGAGTGTAGAGGTACGGTGCCTTTCAAATTTTATTATGGTACATAATTTTGATATACAATGTTACGAGGATTATCTCAAAATCTACTTTTATATCTAATTATAACATTTTAAATATAAAAAATGGCTAAAATCAAGTAGATCTATAAACATATGAAAATCTTAAAAATGGACGGTGTAGATAATATGTTGTAAAATCCACTATTTTTTAGACTTAAAATCTTTTTATTTTTCATAATCATATATCTCGATGATCAATAAAAGGGTTTTTCAACATTAAAACTACCTTTTCCGATGGATTTTTGAGAAGCATCCGTAGTTCTACATTATAAGGTAGCATCCTTATATAAACTTTTTCCTTAAAATACATTCTAAAAAAACCTTTTCTTTAAAGAAAATGCTTATATAAGGGTGAGGCCCTAATCAATCAAAGAAAATGCTTATATTAGGGTGAGGCCCTAATCAATCAAATTAAAGCACACCTCAAAAATTAACTAGAAGAGGTTGTTTTGATGCCCAAAAAACGTCAAATCGATCATCTTGACTTCAAGATCTATAGACATGAAAAAAAAAGGATTTCAAATATTGAAAATAATTCATCTTTGTAATATATTTTATGAATCGTCAATTTTCAAAATTTTCAAATGTCCATGCTCGATATACACTATTTTTAAAGTTTTAAATTTTATAATTAGAAATGAAATAAAGTTTTAGGCCACCATAAAGTTTTCAATACTGAAACATCTTTTAACACTATTTGAAGGTGCACCTTACTTTGATTGTTTAGGGCCTCGGCCTTATACAAACCACACCCTTTACTTAATAAGAAACATATGATTACTTTCATGAAATAAAGAACAGTGATGGGGTTTAGCCTCTGGGCCATGAGGTCCATGATTTGAATTCCACGTTACCCAAACACCAATTTCTTTAGCAAGTTATCACATCATTTCCAATCATGATCGGTTTTTTCACTGAAACAAAAGCCATTTAGCCATAGCAGGCACAAAGGTCATCTTTTGTTACATCATAAGCTAAAAACAGAGTCTCATGTGGCAAAATCCACCAAAGCTTCTGATATAAGGAAACTTCAATCATTTCTATAAAATATTTGTCAAAATTTAATTCAAGATTTCCCATTATTATAACTTTGAAACCACCCATTAAAATATCAGGAGAATCAGGCCTGATCACTAAGGCATAAATGCAAGGCTTGCTCTGCTTCCTTCAAAAACAAGCGAGTAAGTTCCTTCTGACCATGCCGATAAATGATAGCAGACCAACGATTCCTGGTCATCTTTAACTTCTTCCCTTTTACTACGTTTTCTTCAGAATCACTGCGCTCAAATTATGAAAACTTACAGAGTAGATTCACAAATCTTATTGAACTACGCATACATCGCAATGAAACATGGAAAAGCATCTGAAAATGTGTCTCAGAAAGGAAAACCAACATATACAGGTGCAATCCCATGCCCCTTTATGAAATTTCCTTTTTAGTGTTGATAATCATTCCCCTTTGTGCAAGTTATTCTTGTGTGTTGATAATTATTTTCATCATTCTCTAATACAATTGCAGGAAGTTTAACTATTTTAAGAAATTTCTTTGCCATGGGAGAGACGAATATGGAAAGCTATTAATATCCGATTAAATTCTAGAAACTGCACAGAAGGAAGCATATTTTTAACAGTTAAAGGGGCTGCAACCAGGATTGAAATTACCTTTTCAGTTCTTCCTTTATGGCCTCACATATGCAGGCATTTTCAAGCAACTCCTTGTCATGGGCCTCAGCTCCAGATCCCTCCTCCAATTCCATCACCCTTGAAAATTGTAGACAGAGAGCATTTATTATATCCAGACGATAATGTAAAGAAAATGCGAACTCCTTATCATTCATGTTATTTCAAGGAAGATACATCAAATAATAGCTACAATTCAAAAAAATAAAAAAAAAACAGGTATAGCAATTAGAAAAAAAAAAAAGGTGTAAATATTGAAAAAGTGTGTTTAAATTTACGTTAGTAATAAAAATTAGCTAGTAAATTTACCAATAAATAGTTACATGTGCTTAGCAATAACTGGATACAACCATTAACTAGAAAAGTTGGTTGCTCATAAATTTTCTTGAAAATATATATCTACATGGGAAGCTGGTTTGAACTCTTGAAATAGCTTAGGTAAACAAAATATCATTTCATTGAACCACACAAGACATATCGTCTTTAATTAAAATGAAATGATACTTTAAATACAAAATAGTATGTATTTATAAGCATTATTTTCTTGTGTGTGCATGTGCATGTGTAAATGAAAGACCAGTCTCAGAAACATACTTAGAAGTAAGGAGATCAACCAGTAATTGTAAGGCTCCAGCATCCCCACAGACTTCCCATATTGCAGCACACGTGTCAGCCTCAGTAAGTGCTATCTCATCCTCCATAGATCCATTAAGCTTGAAATAGTTAGGCAAAGATGAGGGGTCAGAGGACCATCTAAAAATTAAGAGCCTGAACCTAGAAAAGATATATGAATGAAATGCAATTTTCCCTCCCTCCAAATGGAGGCCTAATACCCTGCCAAGCCAACTCACAAAGCAGCATATAAAACAAAGAGGAAGACAAGTTGTGAAACCATTCGAAGAAAAGGCAATGATATCATAAATTAATAAGTACAACTGATGTCAATCACATTTCTGTAGTTTGCTTAAAACCAAGAGGTAGTTTGGTAAAGAAGGTTTATAAAAACCGGAATGTCCATAGATTACCCCAATAAACAAAACGCAACCCATTAAAAAGTCATACATTACTGACTCAGAAAAGATGTCAGTTAATTAAAGACGACCACAAAGGTGATACATGGTAAACACCACCAACATCATTTACAAAATACTATTATACCCTAATGGAGAAAATTGTTTATAAACAAATGAAGAAACTTGACAAAGTGATACCTCTTCCAACAATGATGAAACCTGAAGAAGCTCATCCTCTTCCATGGCAATGGTTCTCAAAGCAGTCATAAAATTCTCTGGGAAAACCAACTTATTCAAATAAGAAGGGGCCTTGCGCGTGCCACTCCAACTATAATTGATCACCGGAACATTTGGATGCATTATATCTTCATTTTGAGAATGGTTTTGTGAAAAAAATCCATTTTGAAGCAAACTTTTGCCTAATAGGCATCTCATTTCTGCTTTCTGCAGAATACAATGGCAACCATGATATATAATTACTACTATAGGTATAAAACCGTAGAAAGTTAGAAATTACTCCATCATTTGAATGCTATACCACCAAACAGAAAGCAACTGATATTGGATACATATGATCAATAAAACTCATACATATATATGCCTTACTGGATATTATCCCCTGGGAAAAATTATCTAAACCGAACAATTTTGATAAAGTGGGTGACCTGTATTTCTAAAAGCTGCGCTTTGGATTCAGCACATGGAACTTGCTGAAGGGCCTCGGTTGGATAGTGAAGCATAAGATAATCATCTGGATTATTATCCACAACAAATCCATAGAGATATAGTAGTTCCTAAAATGAATAGAAGACAAGAGGTTGTCCAATAATTAGAATGGATGCAGGAGCCATGAAGCTCAAACTTGTACAAAAGAAAAACGAGTAGCACAGTATCTATAATTATAATCCACAAATTCCATACTCCATAGTGGAAAAAAATGAGGCGTTAGGTAGTAACAAACACTTCGGAATAGGCTAAAGAATGTACCTCATTTCCTTTGTTTCCATAGCTTATGTGTATCTCTTTGTCAGCAGGAAAATCATTCTTTGCCACTTTTATAGCAATCAAAAGGAGCAACAAAGGCGAGAGGCCATTAAGATAATGTTAGTGCATATATATCCAATTTAAATAATCTAATATGTTAGAAGCAATTATCACACAAAAATTTTCTCCTCCAGCCACCATAAGAGTATGGAGCAAACAATGAAGAAGTCAATGGCTCAGGTCTCATTTATTTAACATGTCAGAAGGAACCATAAGAAGAATAACATTTTATTGATATAAGGAAAACCCACTAATCATTAGGCAAAAGTTTTTTGACGATTAACTACGTATTGTGAAACTGTTAATCCTCGTGTTAGACATTTCAACATTCATGGTAAGATGAGTTAGTATTATTTCATGGCATTTTCCGTACCAAGTTTAAGATACATCGATAACGGAGTCCCAGTCACAGATCCACTCTTGTCCACTTCCCATAATGCTATAGCCTTTGAATCTGCAATTAGATGATCCACCATAATAGGCACACAAAGAGAATCCCAGTCACTTAATGAAACTTAAGCATTCACCTATTAAAACTGGGCCTCAATGCAAATTGAGAAGCACAATACCATGGTTGCAGAAGTCGATTCCAGGAACAAGACCTTCAACCCAAATAGTTTCAGTTTGTGTTGAAGTGGATTCTACTTCTGTGTCTTTGGTTTGTCTCACAGATAGAGGATCACCTAAAGGAAAGATCCCCAGCAAAATCAAAACTACATCCTACAGAACCTGAGTACTCATCTCGAAACAGTGAAGCATGCTGAACTGAAAAAAACTTCATAGCAATGTGAACTAGTCAAATTATGCTTCATGTTGAACTTAAAAACTCTTTAAAGCTATGTCAAGGTCATACTTGTGTGAGGGTAAAGATACCATAATCCAATGGAGCATGGTTTAGAGTACTAAGCAAGAGGGGCATCCACTGACCATTCCCAATGACAAATAGTGGAAATTAATGGGATCACAGTGAATGTCCTGGTTCGCCCCACTACAATTAATCTGCACTGTCCAGAACAGACGGTAGATGCCCCTATGGAGTGCCTTATACCATAGTCCATGGGATTGTGGTTTACTTTCCTTTAATGCATTGAATGTGTAGTTAATGAAAGCCTTACCCATTTTGTCTTTGCAATCACTCAATGCTTCAAGAGAAATTTGAGTAGCTTGAACCTTTAACTGCTTGTTATGACATGATGAACTGTTCTCCTGTTCTGGCAGTTGAGGATATACATAACAACGTGGAAATGGAATGTTTAAAGCTCGAGTCCAAAATATGGAGTTAGCCCTAGCATATAGATGTGAAAATGCATTACATTAGGCAGTAGAAGAGACATGTGCAAGCTTAAATATAACAGAAAAGTAGTAGGTAGTTTCCTGCACCAAAATGAACTTTAGGATATGTGAACCATATAAGCTGAAGTTCTTTTTTGGGAGTATGAAGGCATAACAATCACAATTTATCAATAGTTCACAACTAGTTTTTCCTGATATATATTTGCATCTGCCAAAATACATATAGATTGAGATATATATGTGCTTCCTATAAGGAACAATAGTCGAATACCAAATACATAAGATAAACTACTAAGTCAAAAGATCCAAACTATGGGATATCCTACTAACCTATCATATTTAGTCTTACTAGCTTAAAAGATATTTAGCCACAAAATAAAAGATCATAAAGAAACAAAAATGAGAAAGCAATTATAACAATGGTGATGCATTTCAGCAGAAGTTACATACCACAGGAAGTCTTCAAAGTGCACCACACTGTTAAAAATAAAAACAAAAACAAAATAACAGTTAGCACATGTATTGAGTATAGAGATTGCAACCCAAAAGGAATGAAAAAAAAGGAAAGTAAATTAACATATATAATGGAAAGAGCAATTAGTCCCAATAGATTCATTATTCAGAAAAATAATCAATCATATTCTCAAAGTTACAAATAGAAAATGTATAAGAATCTCCCCACCTATCAAACTCCCCATCAAGGGACAGAAGTTCCTCAACAAGATGCTTTACCTTATCATCAAATAACGCTTGCAAGTTCTTCTTCTGCAAGAGAGCTTGTTCCATTTATCAAATTAAAATGAATAAGAGCATGCCAAAACAAGTTGCAGATATAGGCAAACTTATCATGAGACCAACGACATAGACAATACAATACAATATGTTGAGAAACAAAAAGCAAATAATGAGAAAGACACTCCAAGCCTCCTTCCTAAGGATTAGCAAGGATGTTCTGTTAGGGATAAAATGGTGAAAGTAATTTTAGCCTAACCGAGCCAAGCCAAATATTCCCATACTCAACAAATTTGTACAACACAATTAACTCCCTGACCTTCAACTTCCTCGATGTTTCCATGAAAATTAAGACATACTTGCAATGGTAACCAATTGAACCATCGAAATCAAACCTTAAAATATAAAATCTCAGTCCAACTATCGCATGATAAACATATCCTATGCCCTTTCTAAGAAGGGATGCCTGATCCAATCCAAATGATGCGAAAAAACCCTATCTTACACAATCAAAACAAGTACAAGCATTATAATCTGAACCATGCATATGGCTTGTCAATTAATAGATAATTGATATCACCATGTAGGTATGATAAAACATTGACTACTGTAATATAGAAAGCATTACTCATGCACATGAAACACGCAAGCTAATGAATGCATGGGCTACAACATCTAGGACATCGAAGTATTCTCCATTCTCTCCTAGACAGCCAAAGTTGGTTCTACCACTAGAAACAAGCCATGCCTCCTAAAATGATAAATTGACTGAGCTAGAAATAGCAGCCTGATGAAGCAACTACTCTTCATACAAATGGCATAATTCATCCCAACCTTCACTATATACTTAATAACTAAAAAAGTCAAAACAGGTATTCATCCATACACTAAAGAACTGGTACCAAGGAAAAGGGTACAACGAAATGGATGGGGAATATTACCTGCATGGTTGTAGCTTTATATAATGCAGTACCTTTCAGCTCTAAAAGCTCATCTTCAGTAAACCAAAGAGGGGTCCCAAAAGTGGATGGAAGCATATCAAGGTACCTACAATTCTCCAATATTGCATATCCCATAAATACAAAATAAAAGAGAATTCCACTCTTATATCTAGGGTACGAACTAACACTAACATGAGAAAAATATTATTCTACAACAGGAATTTAAAGTTTGTCACACCCACGTGCTATATATGGCTTCGTGATTCATGAACAATAAAAAAAAATCAATATTTGAGAGGCCCACCAGATTAGTATTCTTTTATTTTTTTTGGCACACTAAGTGAACAAATTATGGAGTACTTACTTGACAGCTCATGGCAAGAGACCCCATATCAAAAAATGGGCTTTGATAAAGCTTGGACTACATATTCATTTGATCAACATTTGTAACAAATTGCAATAAAATTATCAATAAAAAAACAGATTGCAACAAGAATCCTACGGTTTCCATGTTGAGTTTTTGTGAGCACGTTCAACACAGAGAAAAAGCATCATTAAAAATCGGTCATCAAGATCTCCTTCTTGAAATAGGGCCCGGCATTTTCGTCCTATAAGAGGATCCTGCAACACTCTCATTGGTGTTATCGCCAGATTGAGTGGAGCTATTAATAAAATCCCTGAAATTTTACAGAAGCCTCATTTATCAAAATTCAGAAAAAGAAATCCTACAATTTTACATAAAACTCATTTATCCACAAAATCTGGAAAATTTAGACATAACCCGTATAACTAAATTAAGTATATAATCAACCATATAATAAACAAATTAAGTATATTTCCTCTATTAACTTGAAAAATGAAAACAGAACTCCCGAAGAAACAATTGCAATAGAGAAAAATCCAAATGACACACGGAAATATTCAAATGTGTTGGAAAAAATGAAAATTTTTGAGTTCAAATTCGTAATAAACGCATTAAATTTCATTCATTTGTTAGTAAATAAAAAAAATAAAAAGAAGAAAAACCAAATCATTACCTTCTCCATCGTCATTAGAAGAAAATACTCCGAATCCTTTGTCAGAGCCACAAAATTTGATCTGGCAACCCCGTAGCTCCACACCATTAACCTAAAATCCATTTCCTTATATCTAAATCAGATTGCCCGTAAAACTAACAAATATTTCAGGAAATTTTAGCATAGAACTGAGAATTATAAGAAATCAAAGCGAAATTTTGACAAAAAGCAATGACAAGATAGATGGCACCTGCAACCAGTGTAGGAAGCGCTGGAGCTTTGCCTCTTCCTGAGCTTCTTCCATGGAAGAGAGAGAGATTCAATGGCTCCGAGCGCGCTAAAGGGACTGCGCTTTTAATCGGCAGAGTTTTAAATTTCGCCGGATTTCGCTGAGAGTACCGCTACACGTGTTAAAAACCCAAGTACTCATATCGGTTTCTCTCTCTACATTTCTCACTCTCTTTCTCTCTCTCTAGATTTCAATATCTGGCATCAGTTTTTGCTTTCGAATCTACGAACATTTTCCTAAGAATCGGTGTTGTGAAAAACGGATCGGTGACCTACGTGGGCACCCAAAAAACCCGGTTGAATTGGTGTTCCGGCATCCCGGCCTTCTCTTTCCGAGGCCCATTCGAAATTTTGAGTAGTTTTATCAAGATCGGAAGCCAATTGTACAAAGGATTCTAAATTGTACAAAGGATTCTAACTCTGCAAATTGAGCCTGTTCTAATTTTGATTTGCCAGCTACTTGCTTTATTGTTTAACTTTGTGAAAAAAACAGCGAACACAAAAAAAACACGTAAATAAATAGTGAACCAGCCAAAAATCGGTTTGGATTGGTGAATCGACAGAGTACGGATGGCATTTTCAATGTGTGGAATGCCGGTTTCCTTCTGGATTTAGTTGTTTTCTTATATATACACAGAACCGAAATGGGGTGACCAATTCCTGGTGGGTGTGACAAGGCGATTTTGTGCAGGCCTGGTGTTTTTTAAATCACTAGTTCTTCTAAATAATTATCTCTCTTTTTGGGTATTCTTCTAAGGACACGATTTCTATGAGTCCATGTAAAAATGAGTCACCTTTTAAAAATCCATTTTTGAGATGGATTTTTTTACCTAATTTTTAAAGATATGTAATTTTTAACATGGAGATCATGAATACGAAAAAATAAATAAATTTTAAAAATTAAAAATAATAATTCCATTGAAAAAATATTTGGAGTGTTAGTTTTAATTATTTTTAAATGGGCCACCTATTTACATTCATCTTAAAGATGGATGCTTTATACCTAGGGGACCGCAAATATAGAATTGTGTTCCCCGATGCATGAAACAATTTTCCGTCTTTTGTTGTACATTGTTATCATCTTACTTATACACCTTCTGTGTAGAAGTAAGATTCTAACAATGAAAATGTATACGATAATATTATTTATTTTTAATACAAGAAGGTCGCAATTGTTATTGACAATAAATTGGGTGGCTGGGGATGTGTTATTATTGGGCACAATGATGAAAAGTAAAATTTCTCGAATGTTGTGGTACATTCCAATCTATTAGATTTCACATCCAATAGCTAAATATGATTATAGCCTACTTGAATCAAAAATAATTTATAATATTTTTTTTATTTGGGTTGTGATTGGATATAATCTTAAAAGACATATCACTTGT